CTGATTGTAAAACCAAATAGCATCTGTATCTAAAAGTGCAGTCTATCATAACTTCTTATACAATAAATTTAAATTGAGATTATAAATTATTTAAATTGTTTGCTACATAAAGAGAAACGATGCCACACCCGTGGCCCATTTAGCCTGTTAAGCAAACACATACAAATGGTCTCCAATTCTCTTTCCTATCAAAACTCTTTCCACACTTAGCGCTACCAGGCCAGGTGGAAGCAGCGAGGGCGATATATCTTTACCACTTTCGACATTTGGAGACGATATAATGTACTTTCAGTACTTCTTAACTGCGTTTACTAATCACAATCTCAAAACTGTTGTATCATTAGGCCGTATAAATTAATTAAACCCTATTCATGTTCTTATGACATATCAATTGTAATTTGCATTTGGAAAGAACCCTGCACGGTGATTCTAACTTGCAAACATTTGTCTTCGACTCTTTGTTTTTGTTAATACTTACTGTTAAGAGTACCTAAACAATCCGCCGGGTTAAGACGTCTCTTTGGGTAGGTGGGTGTTTTACATCATGCTATTGTAAGCAAACTACACTTACTTTCCCAGCTGTTTATATAAAATCAGCAACACGACTGGGACTTGAGAGCTGTGTACGACTGACAAACGATTTCAGGGAAATTCACTTACGAATACAATAATGCGTAACAAAACTTATTTTTTCTCTCGCCTTCAAGAGAATAACAACCAATGCCAATGAGAATTTAATGGCAACTAATTAATCTCTGTAATTACAATGCTGCATAAGATGATAGCAGAAGGTATCTGTGATAATATTAGAGATACATAGTAGCTGTGTGCTCCATTCGAAAAAGAGTTTGATTTCTGTTTCTTTGTTAAGGATTTTTATTGTGCATTTTCCATTTCGCAATATCTGTTCTTCCAGTGCCCTGTGAACAGTGAGCGATATAATCATGTTCACAGTCCCTCGTTAAAACGGCAAGAATAGCCCCCTACTTGTTTTGACTGATTATGTAGCGACTGGATCTCTGAGCCGAAGATGGAACGCTTTTTGGGTGCGGAATTGCTCTGAATCTCCCTGCATTAGACACAGCACAGCGGGCAAGCCAACAAACGTAAATGGAGCTTCTACTGATTGTACCGACAGCCGGTGGAAACACCTGTTTACTTACCGGCGGGGGGAGTAGAAGGAGGGGGGCAAGTTCTTGTGCGTTATTTTGGTAAGGAATAATGAAGCAGCTCTTTTATTTTCTTCCCTCACAGATAATTCCGAGGTGAATTTGCTGGAGAAGAGGTGGATAAGAATTAACCCGAGCTAGGGCGAACAGGCAGAAAGAAATGGATCAATACTTGGCCGGGCCAGAGCAGCTGCCAGATGGTTAGGAGATAGAAAAAAGCTGCACACCCCAAACTGTTTCTCGCAGGGCTCTGGTCACTTCAACAGGGATAAATAAAGAGTAGTTATTACATGTAGATTTGAAGCAACAATTGCAACTATTAGCATTTTTAAGTACATGTTAAAAACCACATCAATCGGAGTTTACAGAAATCATATCTACAATTGGTGTGTGGGATTAATGTCCTAAATAAATCCACGACAGAGTTAATCAGGAAGAAATTCTTTTTTAAAAATGTTAGCTTTATTTTGGAACATTCCAGTTATTCGGCAGATTGGAGGGCAGTGCTGGCGTCATTAATGATTACAGTTGAATTAATTAAGTGGTGGCGAGCATTTTTAAACTAAAGGCCGGGCTACGGTTGTAATCCTTTGAAAGGGGCCTGACTAGTGCCTTTCACTAGCATCATCATGTTAATGAAATCCACTATGTGAATCAGTGACACGTAATATAATATAAATGTTAAAAGTTGCACCATCCTTTCGAATTCAGTTTTCCTAACTTGCTGCAATAATGGGAAATGACCATTTTTAAATAAAACCAAAAATCCTTTCCGTTCTGATTTTCAGCACATTTGGCTGCGCTTTGGCTAATGATATTTTATTGATTTGGACGAAGCAATGAGGTGTTGCAGATCCCTGCTAGAATGAAGCCAGCATTCTACTTTCTAAATTATATTTTGTTAATTACGAAAGGAGTGCCGAGGAAATAAACTGGCTTTCAACTAAATCAAGTGGCGGGAAAGGACTATCAGCTTTACTGTCATCACAAGTAAACAACAACAATAATATTCTTCCCAGATAATCAACGTTATCCTGAATTTGTACTTAATTGAGCAACATTTATTGTGACGACATGGAAATCGGTAGTTTCAGAAATGATAGAAGGTTTTGTGAAAATAAACGTTCATATTGCCCTGGTAATAATGGTACAGTGTTGTTGGTTTAAGAGAAATGAACAAGTTGCAATTGAGCTAATATATTTCAGCGTCAGCAGATCCGGAAGCTGAAGCGAGCCAGTTTAGCAGGAGAAGTGAAAAGGAGCCGCAGTCTGACCCGCTGCGTCTCTCTTGGTTGTAAAGTTCTCAGTTCATAGATCAGGAAAACAAGGTGTTTACGCCGCAGTCTGTAACCGTTAAACACTCAAAGCAGCCTATCTTTCAAACAGAAAACACAGAAACGTCAAACTTTCTGTAAACTTTGTTTTTTTTAATGTTGAGGGGACTGTAGCTGAATGCAGGGTGAATATAGCACGGGGCTCCAAAGAGAAACAGGTGAGTTGTAGGTACAGCCGACAGGTCATTCAGAATATTCTACACCCGAGAGGAGGCGAGATTATTCTCGGTTATTTTAGCCTGCTGTATATAGTGTGAGGTATGTTCCAGGGGTACATTCCCGCTATGAAAACGTGCGGCCTTCGGGTTTCCTGGCGGCGGTGTTCATTAAATCGCAGCTCGATTTGTGGAGCTTTTTTTTCAAAATCTTCGATCTCAGTATATTCCAGATCAAAGCGCTCTCAGCTGGGTTTTGGTATGTCTTTATGTTGCAAATCCTCTGCAAGTCCCTTAATACAACACTTTCATGTTGTTACCACTGGTTACTGCTCTGACTCCCCAAAGGCTTTCCCCCGCCCCCCCAACCACAGGTCAGAATTTGTCTTTCTCACGTCAGCCCGGAGAGTTTCATCATTCGGCGTTTATCAATGGCACTTAAAGCCAGGAGTCATCATTCGGCCAAAAAAATGATCAGGTTTTCGTGGAGAAAGCGGCATTTCCGGTTGAATGGACAATAAAGGCAGTGTGTGCAGGCGCGCACACACACACACACATAAATGCTGCCCTTTATCCCTCCAAACCCGGTTCCAAATTCAGCGCCGTGTTTACTTCCTCCCGAGTTCAAACAGAAGTGATTTATCAAAGCGCATCGTTTATATCCGTGTGACTGAGTCCCCGGGTGAACCTGAAGACCTGCCGAGTCTAACGAGCGCAACCTCTCTCAACAGAACTGCTCCAATGCAGCTGACAACTTGGGCTTTGGAAATGTTTCCCAGCGCTGTTAGGGCATAACTAATTCGATGACAATTTCGAGCGCGCGTCGTGTCTGCATTTCTGTGGCAAAGCAGCTGTGAGTGTTCCATATTGGACCTATTGATCAGGATAGCGGCAGGGTTTCAGCAAATAAAGCCCCAAGTGTTGACAAACAATCGGGGTGTCTTCAGATCATGACCACTGTACACCTAGTAACCGCACTGGTATCTCTCGACTGAAGATTTGAGGAAAGTGTAAAAGCTGAAATGAAGGACAATCCTCCCCAAACACAGGGCACTTTGTAAAATGTGTTCTGAGGAAGGGTCAATGGACTCGAAACATAAACTCTGATTTCTCTCCACGGGTGCTGCCAGACCTGCTGAGTTTCTCCAGCAATTTCTGTTTTTGTTTCAGATTTACAGCATCCACAGTTGTTTTATTGTAAAATGTGTCACCTCGTCCAGAAGTGTCATTCAGGCCTAAAAGCCTGTCTCCTTTAAGACACCGCAACTCAAAAAGTGTCGCTCTAAATTTTACACTGTTGCAAAGATTCAAAATATTGTACTGTATGTTATGAACGGAAATATTGGTGAAAGTGTCAAACTTATTCCATATCAAAAAAAGTCAACTGTCACAATCTTGACCCTCAAAGGCTCGGCCCTGAGAATGGGGAAGTTGGATTCGGGTGACTATCTCAGGCACTGCGCAGACCCTGAAGGGCCAAATGGCCTCTTTCAGCCCCGCCATGAACTTTCGATGACTGTGATCCAATGAAACTGGATCCTGAGACGTCTACTCATTTTAAGGAACGGAATGTAATTGCCCGGTCAACGACTATTGATGTCTGAACTGCCTAAAACATTGAAGCAACCGTCCCAGTGAACAAAATGATCCTCCATGTTTTGAGATGGGCCTCGAGGGCCGTGTCTGATCCCGGGATTTCGAGCTGTGGGTGTTGGAAGGTGACACCTTCCTTATCTGCAGTGAACGAAAGCCTTGTCAGTGAGATAACGCCGGATCTTAGCTGCCTGTGCTGAGGCTTGGATGTGAAGCTAAACCGTTAGTGTTGAAGTGAGAGGCTGCAATTATGGCAAGGTTCATTCTTCGCTAATTGCACTCGTGCATTGTTCGGCCTGAAACTTTCTGGCTTTCGAATGGGGAATGCATTGGGCAGGAGTGATGGGGGAGGGAGGGAGGTTGGAAAGAAATAGAGGAAAAGAAACCCTCCGGAAATTCAGTAATGAGATGTGGGAGTGCTGACGTCAAACTCGGATGTGAGAGTGTGCGCACTGAGAGTCTGTCTCCCTCTGTCTCTGCCCCAATCTGCAAGCGGTTAAACCTGCAGCCCAGGGAGCAGTGCATCAGTCAGAGAGAGAGACAGACAGACAGACAGACGCACACATACGATCCGAGAGAGAGCAATAGCAGCAGCACTGATCGCTACATCCCCCCCCCGCCACCCCCTCCCAGACACACACACCCACCTACACACACCCACACACACATACACAGACAGAGCTCGACCGAGCGGATGGCTAGGGATTGATGCCTCCTTTTTCCTCACCTCTCTCTCCAACCCAGCGAGCATGGAGCTTACAATGGAAAACCTCGGGAATATCCACGGCGCCAGCCAAGCCAGCGACCTGATGAACAGTTCCCACAATCGCCAGGCGTCTCACCGGAGCCTGGCGCCTCACGGCCGGCCTGCCATGGTGTCCAGCATGGCTTCTATCCTGGAAGGGGGAGAGTACCGGCCGGATCCGAGCCTGTCAGGCCCCCTGCACCCGGCAATGAGCATGTCGTGTGAGAGTCCGCCCGGGATGAGTTTGAGCAGTACCTACACCACGCTGACCCCTCTGCAGCACCTGCCGCCCATCTCCACCGTGTCTGAGAAATTCCACCACCCTCACCCTCACCACCACCACCACCACCATCACCATCACCCCCCACACCAGAGGCTGCCCGGCAATGTCAGCGGCAGCTTCACCCTCATGAGGGACGAGAGGGGGTTACCTTCCATGGGCAATCTCTACAGCCCCTACCACAAGGACATGGCGAGCATGGGGCAGCCGCTGTCCCCCCTCTCCAACGGACTGGGCACTTTGCACAACTCTCAGCAGCCCCTCACCCCTTACGGCGGGCACATGGCCAACGAGAAGATCCTGTCCCCCAGCGGGTTCGAGTCCCACGCTGCCATGCTGTCCCGGGGAGAAGAACACCTGGCCCGGGGACTGGCGGCTCCCGGAGCCGGCATGATGGCCCATCTCAATGGCATGCACCATCACGGTCACCACCACGGCCAGGCCAACGGCTCCCTGCTCTCCTCCGAGCGCGACCGCCAGCCGTCGGTGTCCGCCTCGCAAAGCGGCGGCTCCAACCAGGTCGAGGAGATCAACACCAAGGAAGTGGCCCAGCGGATCACCGCCGAGCTGAAGCGCTACAGCATCCCGCAGGCCATTTTCGCCCAGCGCATCCTGTGCAGGTCACAAGGGACCCTCTCAGACCTGCTGAGGAACCCCAAACCCTGGAGCAAGCTCAAATCCGGCCGGGAGACATTCAGGAGGATGTGGAAGTGGCTTCAGGAGCCGGAATTCCAAAGGATGTCAGCTCTAAGGCTTGCAGGTAGGACGGAGAATGCACCGAGATTCAATGCTTCTTTTTATACATGCCGCTTTTTTTAAAAAAAAAATTGTAATATACAAATCTATTCATAATGCGAACTTAACCATAACAGATACTGAAAACTTCGGGCGGGTTGCTGAATGATTTCCCTTCATTTAAACGGAAAGCAGTTATTCAAAGCGTGCTTCACCATCTTTGTACAGTAATATTTCCCATTCTTTTATTTATCGCTTTGTATTTCTTTGTCTCGGTGTTTGACATTGTGTGTGTGTGTGTTTGTGCATTACATTCGCGCACACAGAGATTTCACAGTGTTCGCTATTCCGCTCACACTCCCCGTTTTCTGACAGGATCCCCAGGGTTTTCCCATTAATGTCATTTTCTCCTACACTTCCCCTGGTTTAACTTACGCAAACACGGTATTAGTTATTCTGGGACAGAAACAGATTCACCTAATATAGTTGAATGTCCCGCTACCTGGTCCATACATAACTACTATCGCACACATATACAAAACAATCTGCAGTCAATCTCCTGTTCTCTTCCATACACTTTACATTGGGGAGGAGTAGGGGGGGCGGTAGGTTGTTCTGCTGGTTAGATGATTTGTATCGATGAGTAAACAGCAAATTTCTTTCCAGCAGACTAGATTGTTCATACTGAAGGGAAAGGCATTATGTCCATTATTCCACCTGTGTTTTCCTTTTGGAAATAGTGATTGCATTGTATTTCGCTCGCTAAATGAAGGTAGCACCACATATGTGGATTGAACTGAGGTACATCTCATTGATGGGTAGCAGCGCTGTGCAGTTTATATGAAAACCCTCATTTCTATTCGATCGTGTTTGTACCGTGTACTATCATTTCCGTAACTGGCTGACGTGCATGTCTTAATGGGTTTTAAAATGAGTTGTGGGCCACCTAGCGTGATCGTTGTGATAATGTACTGGTGCACCCACCATCTCTGGGACCCTCTCCGCCTCATTCAGCCATGTCCTCTTGTAAAGTACAGGTGCGGAGCATCTTCGGGACGTAACTGTCCTCAGGTGTATAATCCATGCGGTGCCACGTGTCCCACAATTTACCTGCCCCTTAATTAGGTGCGAATCGAGGCATCTTTTAGTTACAGTCAATGCCCTATTGAAAAGCAGTTAATGTAATGCAGATTGCATTGGTTTTACAAGAGTCTGATAAATAAAGATTTAAACTATCCTGAATTGGCTTTTTAAGTGTCTCTGTTGTTAAACTCAATCGAGCGTTTGTGTTTTATTTCTGTTCCAAAATGTGGTATGGAAGAGTTGGGTCAAATTAGCGCAATAGAGACAACAGCTCTTAGATTTAGTCACACATAAAGGAATGAGATGGAAACGTTTTAAATGAAGTTTTTGACAATATAAAATCTACTTCTGGGCGGCTATATACATATATATAATGTTTAATGTTATATTTTATTTGAAATAATATAACATTAAAGATTGTGATTATTGGCCAGTGCAGCACTAGTGGAACTTGGCAAGTCTAAAATAACATTTTGAGATCTCCCATTAAATGACGATAAATCTTCAGTGCCATAATCCAGCCTGACCACTATACTCACATCTGTGGTGTGCATAGCAGCCAGTGTATCTTCAGTTCCTGGACGGCGTTGTAATGTAACATTTTTCTTTCTGGACATTTAGGCTTCAGGTTTCTTTGTTATCACTATGTCAGCACCGAGAATCTTGTCATTGCAAGGTCTTTGGAATTTACAAATATTTGGGAGTTTTGTTGAACTTATTCCTTGTCATAGAATAATTTCTGGTGACAAGAGAGGTTTGGAAATCCCAGCGCAATGTCGCATTAGTGAGATTGAGATATAAATATGAAAAGGAGAAAGAGCCAGGATTCTTTACTAGGAGTAAGGGAGACAGAATTGTTCGCGTTTGAAACCACAAAATCAATAGCTTCGAATTACAATTCGGAATTCATCACAGTCAAAGAAATCGATTTTTAGGGTTGTTCAAATATTTTGAAACGGCAGTACACTGCCAGATAATGCTGTATATGGTGAGGTTGCAGAAAAGAAAAATCACAAGTGAACGTACAGGGGTGTTTTCAGATGTTGTAGATACCACCGCCATTTGCATGTTTAGCAGCAATGATTGGGACACCTTGGCGATGGGATTGATGTGTTTAGCGCCGCGATTTCATTCGGGTTGTGAAGGAAAAGAAAATGCTGTGAGAATCCGTCGCAGATTCAATTCAAGTTATGTCAAAGCACTGGTTTAAAATGACCAGACATGTTCTCCTCACACGAGCTCGAATCTGTTCTGTTTAATAATAATACAACCGTGTATTTGAACGACCCACATGTATTAGAACGATTGTAAATGCCATAATTGCTCAGTACTTCAGAGTTTCTCCCAAAGTTCAGGTTTCTGGTATTTGAGGTAACTTGATTGCAATGCTCTGGATTCCCAGAGAACATAAAAATGTACCCATTGCAGCGGGTGTAGACCGGTTCACAGCAGAGGCGAATGTTTATGGATTAGCAGCAGCTTTACTACATGGTTGGCTCAGACTGCATCTTTACAAATATGTTATCTTCATTAACAAGATATAGCCACACATCAAATCTGATGGATAACACAATGCGGAGGTTTAAAATGATGGGATGTAGATGGTAATCCTCCAAATGGATTCTAATGGGACTAAAGATGCACTCAGAAGAACTTTTTTGTTTGTTTGAGATGGTAAGGTGATGGGCTACATTTTCACCCGCCCGATTATTGAACCCCCCACCCCTGCAGGTTGTACAGTTCTCACTGGCAGGGCATACCACAAAGCGGTTGATGCTGCTGTTTAAATGAAGCTGATGTGATTGTACCGGTAAATATACGATCAATAAACATAACTGCTGGACGCTGAACTGGCGCTTGCATTGGATCTAACCCTTTCCACTCCACCTTCTTTTCTTGTGTCTGTGGATTGTGGATTAAGGATCAATTATTGAAAGGGATTCTAATGCCATATTCGCGCCTGGGACTACTTTGCCTGCACGACTGGCGAGCAGATCACTTAGAAACAAACTCAACAAGATGTCTGAGGGTTTTGATTTGGGCAGTATGTGTGTCGTGTGGAGCCTTCCTTTAAGGATTGTTTAAGGATTGCTACAATTTATTTTCTCTCGTCATGTTTGGTGTTGTTGGACTCATGGAATGCCGCAAAAAAGTCACTCCCCATCAACTCGATCCAGTACGTAGCATCATACACCAGGGTTTACACCATGTTCATTCCTATGTTTACGGGAATATGTATTGCAGACTATAATTCTTGCATTTGCTCCTGCCTAGTCTCTCCCAGATATTTTTTTCTTAAATGAAATGCATGCTTGACAAATGTGCAAGTCTGTAAATCTTTCATAAAAAGATGCATCTATTATTTATCGGATAGGTACATACTAAATAAATCAGGCACACAGGCACTCATCCATACTGCCTCATCGCGCACCACACTGAAATAATGAGCTATCTTTCAACGTGAAATTATCGATTAGCATTACATAGCTTAGGCCGATTTTAGCGTTAAAAATGAAGTGTTTCTTTGGGGGAAGTGGGAAACGCCGTGTGTTTTATGACATGATTGCGGCAGTAAGACAGAGAAAATGTGGGAGAGGGTGGGCGGGAGGGAGAGAGAGAGAGAGCAACGAGAGCTGGCTGTGTGCAGTTTGAACCCAGTCAATATTGATCACACAGCAAACCTGCCAATGCTACTGAGGGGCACATTCTACTCGCAAATGTGATCAAAAGCCTGTGCTCTACGATCTCCGCGACTGAGCCTTTCCCCAAGACCGATCTGTAGTCAGTGCAGTGAAGTTTTCTCTCCCACACATCCCTATTGTTCCAATTAACGAAATCGAACCTGCTGCTAGCTGCTGCTCCTTAACTTCTGTGGCCAGATCGACACATGCTCCCCGCGCGATCTTCGGTGATGCTGATTCTGCGTGCGTTAGTCTCTGAGTTTGTGCGTGTGTGATTGTGTGTATGCTAGTCTCTGTCTGTATTAGTTTGTGTGTGTTAGTCTGTGAGTGGGTTAGTCTATGTGTGTATTAGTCTGTGTCTTTCCGTTAGTCGGCGTCTGTGTTAGCCTGTGTGGATTAGTCTATATGTGTGTTAGTCTGTGTGGTGTATGTTAGTCTGTGTCTGTGTGTTAGTCTGTGTTAGCCTTGTGTGTGTTTGTGTGTGCGCCAGACTGTGTCTGTGTTCCTCTGTGTGTTAGTCTATGTGTGTTAGCCTGTGTTTGTGTGTGTTAGTTTGTGTGTTTCTGTGTGTGAGTGTTTGTGTGTGTTAGTTTGTGTGTTTCTGTGTGTGTCTGTGTGTTTGTGT